CACCTTGGGCTCAGAATCAGGATGTCTGTAGGCAATGTTGTGTTGATGCTGTTGCTTTTTAACTGAAGTACACAGTTCCTGGTGCTGGAAGTGCAATTCTTTGGGCATTGATAAGAATGTTGATATCCCACCAGCTCAAAGCCACATCTCTTCATCAGCAACTGAGCTACTGAAGAACCCGAGGGTAGTGTATTGAAAAGAACATACTACAGTGTTTTTGTATACTTCCAGCATGGAACCACTTTGCTTGGTAAATTAAATATAGCTTGGAGGTCTCTGGTACATTTGGTATTCTCTTTAAAGAAACAAGTAAGCACTGCTGTTCTAGCTCTTCTGCTAGTAGAAGCATACTGAAGATATAAAGAACTCTTTCTTTGTTCATACAGCAAAGAAAAAAGAAGTTGTTTAGTTGCCAAAATACCTTGCTAGTGGAAATAACAGTTTTACAACTTAGTTTACAAAGTTTGGGAATTATCTGGGAGGACAAAGAGGCAATGTGGTTTTTCAAAACACGACTGTGCTTTGTCAAAACTATGACTTGTATTTGTCTCATCTGGTAGGGATCATGTTTATTTAATTTTATGCTGTGAGTAAATATGAAAACTGATCGAAGGAAATATTTTACTGGTTTAAAGAAATAAATGCACTTGTGAAGAGGTTCAGTGTGATGCATCAGATGACTTCAATGGTGCTGGAACTAATTGTTCTGTACTTAGTTTCTGTTTTTCAATGTGTTATGAGGAAGGAAAAAACCGGGCAGGTTTTTTGTAAGCTTTTTTTTTCCTAGAGGTGTGCTGTTGAAATTAAGTACAATTGTTGTTTACACTGAGTAGTGAAAACTAATAATTGAAACAGAATTCAAGGTGAATTTTTCGGTCAGTAAGAGTCCTGTGGTTGACTGTAGCTGTTTGAGTTGTTTTGCTAGAACATTACCCTGGAAAAGACTTAAAAATGACCTTCAGGCAGCAAGGCATTTGTCCAATCATTAATTTCAGTAACACAGCGTGTCTGGTTTGGTGCTTTGTGTGACTTCTGTCCCCCTACCTTAGTGAACAACACTGGACATCTGTGCCCCTTTTATGCATCTGATAACGGAGAAATGTAGGACTAATTCAACTGGATTCCATAATTTGTGTTTCAAAAGGAAAGACTGCTGATTGCTGATATGGCCCTTGCAAGTTGTGAATTCATGTTTGAAGAAACAAGGAATTATGTGAAGCAAAGAAAAGCTTTTGGGAAGACAGTTGCACACTTGCAGGTGAGTTTGAACTGAGAGACTTGTATATAGATACCAGTGTTCATTTGCTTTACATCGGTGTATGTGAAATAGTGAGCGAATGAGAATCACTGGGCTGTTTTCAAAGGACTATTTGCACAGTTTTCGCTGTTGGACTGTGGCGGCTGTTTGCCTATATGCCCTTCATTCATTTCTGAAAAACAAAAATAATAAAATAACCCAACACCACAAAAGCCTTAATGTATGTATTTTACGATGCAGTTAGATGCCTCCCAGCACTACTGCTTTTGGAAGTGAAATACGCAGGCAGAAACTATACTAGCTTTTTGCAGCTGATGAAGAAAAATTACCTTGTTGCTCTTCAGCTTGCGTTCTACTGTCAAAGGTCCTAATCACAGGGTCCATGATACCTGCCTGTAATTCTGTATCTGCCTGGAATCCTACAGACTGCAGAAGAGCTTGATGTGCATTGCACGAAAGTGAACTTTGTGGCTGTTACTGGTGGGGGCTCCCAGGCAGTGGCCTTGCTACCTGAATGCCTGCAGAGGTGTTTGTAGGCAGCTTTGTAGGTATTGCAGTGTGATTCCTCAGCTAGCTGCGTATTCACATGACTGCATGTAAAACTGTTGGGTCATTCCCTGTGAGCATACCTCACTCCTGACAGTGGTAGTTCATTGTTTTTGAGATGTTTATGCTGATGCTCTTTAGTTGCAGTTGTAAAACAGATGTTGCTTTCTGCAGTATTGTGATGTTAGTTTTCCTGAAAACCACATTAGCTGTCGGGGTTGAAGCAGAACAAGCTCCTGCATGTTTGGTTTATAGGATAGAAATGACTCATAATGGGTTAGAGGATGTTGGCCGCCTCTCTTTTTTTAATATATATACACTTTTGAAATAATTAAAAAAGGATAAATCCATTTCTAAATCTTCAGACTTCCTTTGTCAAAACCAAATCTTTAATTGTGAGTAGAAGCAGAATTGGGCCCTTTAGAGGCTGTAATGCTAGGTATCTTTCAGGAAATTATGATCTTTTTAAAGTTAACATTCAGAAATCCATAATTCCAGATGGAATTTAGGATATTCAGTGTGCAGCTTTAACACAAAAGAAATATATTTTACCTTTTTTTTTAATGTCGTTAAGGGATGCTTCCTAATTGTAGTTAGTTCACTGTGCAGAGACCTCCAAAATTTCCTTTTTTAGGCTAGCCCACTGCCAACCACCAGGTGGCCAGTAAACTTCATAAAGTATGTTACTTTTGCCAGAATAATCCGTTGTTGCATACCTTTTTCAGTTTCCTTTATGTTGCTGATGGCTAGAATGTGCATATAATCAAAAATCCTTTCTAATTAGAGCTCTACCTTGCCTAATTCATTTTGTAATGCCACAATGCAGTGTTTGAAATCAAAGCTTTCCTTGTAGTGGTAGACTGGTCCATTATATTTATTGCTGAGGGAAGTAAGAAGATTTATATATATATATACACGCACACACACACGTTTAGAACTGTGAGATTAGAAACTTTTGTTACTGGGTGGTGTTTTTATCTCCTCCCTACCAGTATTACAAGAAGATGGTTGAACGCTTGCCTGGTCTGGTTTTGCATTACCTTAGAGATGGATTTTTACCTCTTCTGTCTAGAAATTCTTTTCCAATGTGACAGAATCACAGAATGGCAGGGGTTGGAAGGGACTTCTGGAGATCATCTAGTCCAACCCCCCCTGCTAAAGCAGGTTCACCTAGACTTAGTGTTGAAAAACTTTCTGATATTTAGTCTAAAATTTCCTTTGGTTTTGCTTGTGTTTCTTTGCATATGACTTAAAATTTGAAGAATTGAATGCACCGAAGAAGCATTCAATAGATGATGCTATTAATTGGGGAAATTAGTGGCTCTACAGAGTGAAATGACATTCCCACACAAGAGGGAGTTGAGAGTGATAGACCACCCTGCACCTACAGATCTGTGTTCTTTAGAAATTTGGTTTGAGGCTCTTGGGGTTTTTCTCTTAAGGTCATGTTTTGAGTTGGTCTTGAGAAGTAAAGGGCAGTAGTTTTCTCTAATAAGAATGGTAAAGACATAATTATATGGAAAGTAAGCTGTCTTCTGGTGTACAGAGACAAAGTTGCTTGAAATGTTGATTTCTAACAGAAATCCTGTTAGAAAATGCTTCATTTTCTACTTAAAATACCACTTAAAAACTGTACTACTTCTGCTTTTTCTTTCCTCTGACACCTCTATCCACCTCCAAAATAAGACGGTACAGCACAAGTTGGCAGAGATGAAAACGCAGATTTGTGTGGGCCGAGCTTTTATGGACAACTGTTTGCAGCTGCATGCAGATAAACGTCTGGACTCTTCCACAGCGTCTATGGCAAAGTATTGGTATGTGGTTTAAGCAACTTGGAAGTGTTAGTTGCATGATCTTGCCGGGAGTCTAATGATAAAACACTGAACTGTTCAGATCTAATGAAAAGATAAAATTACTGTCTGGTTAATAATAACACTGTCAGCTTCTAATAGACACTACTGGCTTTAACTTTAGTCCTGTAGTCAACAAAAATCTTAGTTACATTGAAAACTGGTCTTGGTTAAACAGATCGATTTCAGAATAACAGCATGCTTTTAAAATAGGTCTCCATTAATAGCCAGATCAGGGCTTAGCTGCACCTTCAAGTGAAAGTGAGTACTTCATTGGTATTTAGACAAACACTTACATTTTACTGTAGCAAATTGTTGTTGGGTGGGTTTTGTGGTGGTTTTTTTTTTAATGGGGGATGTGTGTGTGTGTGTGTGTTGGGGTTTTTGTGGGGTTTTTTTTTTTTTGTTAAAAAGCACAGTTTTATTTGAAGCTATTATGATACTTTTAATTAATGTTACTTAGCAATAGCTGTTTGGCCCAGCCAGTTTTTGAAGCTATCTGATTTTGGGAAGAAATAATTGGCTACAGCTGTTACTGTAACTGAGACTAAACAGTGCTTTCTTTCATTGGCCAGAACTACTCCTCCCTCTCCCCATACTTGGTGGTGTTGTCTGTCAACTTGGGTTTAACCAGAGAAGGCTGGTTGAGCAGAAGCATCTGAGATAGTGGCACATGAATTTGTATCATTTTATCTTGCTTGTAAAGATGGGAGAAAAAAGCACATCAGAAATGAACAAATAATTTTATGGACAGGTTTACAGATTCTAGACTTTTAAAAATAAGTGTAGAGGAAATGAGCAGAGAGAATACTTATAAAGAAAGGAGGGATTTTCATTGAGTGCTGTTCCTGGCACTGATTACCTAGAAGTATCAGGTACATAAGCAGAGGCATTCAGTTTTGAGGAGGAGGAAACAACTAGTGCTAGCTCAGATATGTAGACTTACTTCCTCAACAGATTTCCCAAAGCAAGGCATTTGAAACTTCCCCCCCACCCTCCCAGCTGTTCAGCACTGCAATTTGTTGTGGCTTTCGCTTTTACCTAATGGACTCCCTTCCATAAAACTATCTTAGATGGTCTAGAAAATGCTTGAATGTAGAAGTGCTTTATTCCCTAATGTTTCAGGAGACTATCTCCAGTTAATTTTGTGTCAAACCTTTTATATAGTCAATGACTTGAGTTAGAGTTTGTGCATCTTTTTTTAATACCTGATGAAAGGTCTGTAGGTTTTATTTGGTGGTGACAGGTGATGTTATATGCCTAAAGTAACTTGAAAAATATGTTTAGGAGAGACAGTTGCAGTAACTTACTGCTGCAGACTTAAAGATGATGTAATGAACTGTAAGGATTTAACTGGATGAGGGGATGGTTTGGAGAAAAGGACTCTTCTATTCTATGAAAAGCAATTGACTTGAATCTTCATTTTCTTTACTTCTGTTGCCTCTGTGAAAGTTGCATGCTTAGAAGGGGGTGAGTGGGGGCTGGGGGTGTTCATGTCTCTTAATTTTAGCTTGAACTTCCAGTGCGGTTAAAATGCTATTTTGCAATCAGCAATTCTGTTTTAAGAATTACAGTATTTTTTAGAATTGAAAACTAAAACCTATTGAGGAAAATAAATTATCCCCAGGTGATGGAGGTGATGGTTCTACTCAAATTGATTTGGTGTCTTGCTAGTGGGACTTGAGGTGGGGGGAAGCCTGTGATGCTGTTAGTTTTTGACAAAGCTGAGGGATTTGGTAAGAAAAGAGACTGTATCAACCTGCTTTACAAAATAAATCTCTTGGCCTGTGAGAAAGGTAAACAAGCTTGTCTGTTTTGAACAAAAGCCCTTCCAAATCTTTACTACATGAAATTGAACAGTATTCATTTCTTGCTAATCATGAAGGAAGAAAAAAGTACCTCAGAATATGAAGTATTTTAATGGCCAGCATTTAAAGTCGGTTATATAGAGTAAAAAGTTTGGTTATATTTTTGTCTTGCTAACTTATCTGTATCTCTAGTAATGTTTCACAGCATGACATCCTTCTAAAAACAAATTTCTTCTTGGCCATTTAAGGTCTTCTGATCTCCAAAACAGCATAGCTACTCAGTGTGTGCAACTGCATGGAGGATGGGGGTACATGTGGGAGTATCCAATTGCAAAGTAAGTGTAAGATTTCAGACTTGAATGATGAAAGATTACGAGCAAAGTGAAATGAGGCACTTCCTTTACGTCTACTTGCTAGTTGTTTTCTGTTAGTACTGATTTACTGTTCATTTTATCATCGTGTTTATTGAAAGGCAATCTACTGTACAGATGTAGATGTCTGCAGGAAGGCTTTGTTTTGATTCTTCCAATAATTCATAAGCTGTTGAGCAATTATTATCTATTTTTCACAAAATAGAAGTTGCTTTTCTAGAAGAAAACCTAAATTGAAAAACCAGAGAAGCAATGTAAAAATAAAAACAAGGGGAGATAGTCTGTATATTTTATCTGAAATTAAATGTATATGTATGAAGGAAAGAAAACACGTTGGTCAGCCTAAATCTCATGTAATACCACAAAATAACAAATTGCCTGATCAAGAGCATCACTGGCTACATTCAGCTTTTTTACACTTTTTAAATGTAAAAGCTAAAGAGATTTGTATGTAGAAAGAAGAATTTGCCATTCCCAATTTTTTGCTTACTTTATTAATTTAGGGACGTTTATGGAGTTCTTGTATATATTTCGTTGTGTATTATCTGTGAAGATTTGTTTCCTTTTGTGTCCATACCATTTGCCACACTAAGAGGTTTTGGTGCTTTTTTATTAAAAAAAAAAAGGGGGGGTGTAATCTGATAGTGGAAATAGCAAAAACAGGACTGCTGTGCAGTTGTCATAAGCAGATAAACTAATTGTTTTAACTGAGTAGGTTTTGATTTTTTTTTTTAAATTCTAAATGCATTAAGAGTGTGAAATACTGCTTTAAAATAACTTTCCTGCATGTTTTTAGTGAGTGTAATTCGTGAGTGTTCTGCGCCCTCTCTTACTAAATAGGAAGGCCAGCAAACCCTGTTCAGGGTGTCCTCAAACCACGGCTTATCTGTGTGTGCGGTAGTTGTCCGTACAGGATTTTATTGTCCCTGTGGTTCAGCAACATGTGTGTGTTTCCAGAGAAGGCCGCATTGCTCCTGGGCTGCCCTCTGTATAGTGAAGCAGAATTAAGATGGAAAAGCACACTGTCATCGTTCTGTGTGCTGTCACCAGCTGTGCCTGCACTGGGGCCAGCTCCAGCATGAGGATGGAGATGGTTTGGCTGCATGCAGCCTTTCAGCTGCTGGACCAAAGGGAGCTGGAGCTGGTGTCAGTAGAAGGCTGTAGCCAGCTGATGTGAAACCAATTGGCACTTTCTCTTCCTCCCAAGGTGTTTGAGTCCCACCTCAAAGAAAGTAGGGACAGCACCGTTAGCAGTCTCTTGACAGGACCAGACAGGCGAGGGCATTGACCATGATAACTATCAGTTTGGCTCTGCAGGAGTTGTTTTTTCACAACAAGGAGGCACCTGGGTCTTGCAGTTCCTGCAGGCATGCTGTTCTGCAGGGGATGTGGTGGGTGAATGGGGGCTTTGGTGTCTGGAGCTGAGTTAATGCTCAGGTGATGTGAGGAAATGAGGGAACAAGACTTTGGGAGGGAAAAGTGATAGGAGCCTGGTTTTACAGAGCTTGATTTTTGTTTCATGAGACGGGATAGTGGAGACTTTACAATGTAAACAAAAAAACAGGGAAGAGATACTAACCAAAATGCCTAGTTGGGCACAGTACCTTGGAAAGGTGAAATATTTTAGGTAGCTGAAACCTCTTTGTAAATGTGAACCTCTTTAAAAAATGGGAATAGCATACTTTGAAGAGGGGGATCTTCAAAGATAAAGCTTGCTATCTTTTTCTCTTGATCATATGGCCATTCTGAGGAGTTGGGTTTACATCTTCCCTTGTTTTGTTGTTTTTTTTTTTTTCCCCTTAGAGCTTTTGTGGACGCCCGTGTGCAGCCAATCTATGGTGGTACCAACGAAATAATGAAGGAACTTATTGCTAGAGACATTGTCAGTGACAAGTAGGCAGATGCTTACTCCTTGGGAGAGTCTTCAGAATAGTTTTATATTAATATATGGCACAAATCGGTCATCAGAATGTAAGTAAAATAAATGTGATGTATTGTATTTCAAAGAAGTGACACTATTTAAAAAAATGTTAGTAACAACAGTGTGCTCATGTGCAGGATATGTAATATTTAATGAACTTTCAATTTAGGTATCTTTGGACAACCCAGAGTAATTCTGATAGTTCCAAAAAGTTCTGGTATCAAAAGGCAATGTTGTGTCTGGAACATTATGGATAGCTCAGTCTTTCAGACTCCATGCCATTTTATTGACTCCAACCCTCACTTTTCAGACTCAAATCTTTTCTCCGGAGAAGCCATGTTCTTAACAAATAAGCAAAAGTTAAATGTTAATATAACTCCTAATTTGTATTTCCCCTTTACAAGTAGAACTTGATGCTTCTGCTGCTGTTACTGTACACCTGCTTACTGGGCAGCAGCCACCTGCCCCAGGGGAGGGAGGGCACTACTGACCGCTGTGTTTACATGTCACCCAGAATGCCTTACTTTAATTACTTTGTACAAATAATTATAATAAAGCATTTCTATGCACTCTCAGGGTTGTCTGCATTCCTTTAAAGTGGGAGAGAGAACTGGGATGCTCCCAGGGAGCAGCCCTTTGGGGGGCGTTAGGCACCGTCCCCCCTCACCGCCCTGCCGAGG